AGGGTTGGGGCTTGAACCCACCACCCTCAGCATATGGGGCTGGCACCCTATTCCCTGAGCCACAGGTGCCACCTTCTATTACAGATTCTTACTGTGTCATTCACAATGGCAGTTGATCCTCAGGCAGACCATTTTTTTTTTGCAGTTTTTGGCTGGGGTGGGTTTGAACCCGCCACCTCCAGCATATGGGGCTGGCGCCCTACCCTTTGGGCCACAGGTGCCGCCCTTTAATACCAACTTGAAAGCAATCCTAGACCTTTCCTCCATTAACTAAACAGTATGTTGCCGCCCAAGGCCTTCAGATTCCTAAACATCCTTATCCCTATCTTCCTTCTCCCCATTCATTCTGCCATCAGCAAAAAGGCTCCTACCCCCAAGTCTGACTCCAGACATGTCTGTTGGTATGTATCCCTCCCAGGCCCACTACATATATAACACACATCAACCTTTCTCTCCTATTCTTTTGGAGAGATCACTGGGTTTGTGATGGTCATCCCCTCACAGTATTTGCTTCCATGTCAGATAGGCCCCAGAGGTCAAGGTTTCATGATACAAAATCAAAGAAATTTAAAACTAGCCAAACATAAGAAGCACCAAGTTTCAAATAGATCATAAAGGTCTTCAGATTTTTAATCAAAATATTTTATACTTTTTGCTCTGCTAGTTTGAGGTCACCAAGAATTAGCAAACCCAACAGGAATACTTTAAAAACTTTAAATGAATCAACTTTAATAAGTAAAAATTACAATTCTCTCAGCAATGAACAATTTCCTTCTTTAAAGGTAAATGAGGGCTAAAATAAAAGGGTATAGGAATGGTTCAGTTTCTGTCATAAACACAAATAGCCAGATGGATTTATGTAATGTTGCCACACACAAGCTTTGGAGAAGTGCATGAAAAGACTGGCTGCCGTGCCATATACAACATGGAAAACTGCCAGGCCTGCCAGGCCTATAACCCAGACACCAGAATAAAGCACTGTCTGCACAGGAGATTGGAGACAAGGTTTTTCCCGAGTGAAAATAGTTCAGTTACACTCTTCTTTCACTTATTGAGAGTTCTATACATCATTTCATAGAGCAGGTTGAACTTTTTACAAACATTTTAAAAAGATGGGGTAAAAAAGGAAGAGTAGACTGGGAAAGGACTGTTTTTAAAACAGCCACTAACAGACAGCTGTGGACAGTTCCTGGGTCTGAAGGTGAGGCTTCCCAATTCAAACAAGCAGAGAAGTTATTGGCATAAAATCTGCCTATTTTATCACCCATATCCTTAAAACAGGACAAGCTGGATGACTACACCAGGTAACACCGCCAAGGTCTCAAATAGCAGCTAAAATGTGCCAGAACTCTCCACCCTATCTAGGATCTATGTTCCATTCCCTCAGCAACAAAAGGAACAATGTTTTCTCAATAAGGCTTTAATTTCTCCTCCCACTTGGACACCATGCTTGAAGTAGCCCTCACTACTCAAAAACCTGTTCTAGCTCTTTTGCTTTCTTCTTCTTCTTCTTCTTTTTGGTAGTATCACTGTCCTAGAGAGAAAGAGAAAGAGAAAGCAAACTCCCAGCATCCATTAACAAAACAATTAAGGAAATCTGCTAAGTTCAACATAGTCAAGTTAGCTTTTCAGGATCTGTAAGGATATTTGGGATTAGCTAAATTTTGCACCTAACACTAAATTATATGAACTATTCAGTGACACCTTATAGTGCTCTACTTTTCAGCTATCATCCTGGATAGAGTACCGTGGTGTCACAGCTCAGAGCAATCTCTAACTCTTGGGCGTAAGTGATTCTCTTGCCTCAGCCTCCCAAGTAGCTGGGACTACAGGTGCCCACCACAACGCCTGGATATTTTATTTATTGCAGCTGTCAGTGTTGTTTTAGCTGGCCGGGGCTGGGTTCAAACCCACCAGCCTCAGTATATGTGGCCAGTGCCCTATCCACTGAGCTACAGGCACCACCTCGTCTACTTTTATAAGTGGAAACACTCAGGTTACCAAGCTATACATCCTCCCCCATTCACTGTCAATAGAGTTCTAAGCATGAGCAGTCATGGTGCCAGGTGCCTCTATTTGTCCATCCAATGGGGGACAGCAAGGGCATCCAGAACACAGGGAAGCACTAAAGGTATTAAGTAGCAAGAGGCAAGGGCAGCATCCCACCTTGGGAGCACAGCTACTATAGGAATAACAAAGCTGGCACCACCTGGGTAATTCTTCCCCCACTAAGGACTAAACCAGCCCAAGAAACCTGAACGTGTTTATACTCACCCCATCTCCATGTTCACCCCCACACTCTACAGCAGCTTTGGCCTTCTTGTCCTTCTTCTTCTTCTTTTCCTTCTTGATCAACTGGGGAACTGCCGGAGGAGTCTCATCACTTTCACTCTCACTCTCTCGCTTTCGCTGAAATGAAAACAATTGACCAGAAGTTAGACAGATGTTGGGTAACAACAGATAAGAAAGTTTCAGTAAGTCTAAAGGTAACCAGGCACCAAGAAAGATCCCAATTGGCTCCAACACTGAGTTTTCTGGTTGAAAACCACAAAAGCAAAACCAAAAACCAAAACAAATCCCAACAGGGGCTTCCTTTACTGAGGCTGTCTTATCCCGAAAGTCAAAGACGCCATAGTCATGACAGCAGCAGCAATAACAGGCTTGGGGAGTAAAAGGCCCTGAGAAACTGACTGTCCCCTAGAAAGGTAGACTATAAGGACCTCTAAGAGTATTCCCTTAAGTCCTCAAAGAAAGCAGGCAAAGCAAGAATGCACATGTGATAACAAAAAAAGTTCCCACAAAGCTTATTGCAGGTAGGAGCACTGCCCAAGGTTTCTGGGTGCAGACATGTCATTCTCAGCTGTGCTGCCAACAGTTCCTAACCTGGGAGGCCAAGCTGCCTCTTTAAACACTGGGCTGGTGCTGCCTAGAGAAATATGCCCGTATTTGGCAAGTTTGCTCCCTGTTGAGTTTCATGTGGCTCCAAGTGTCAACTACAACCTGCCGAAGTCTCTCATTTCAACACACCTGTGCTATCACTTGACCCAGGGTAGGAGGCAGAAGAATATGTGCTGTGCTAGCCATTCTATAGCAGTGTTGTTGCCTTGGTTGGTGGGGAAGCCAAGGCTACTCTGATTCCTATGCCCATACTCCTCCTAAGAGACATGACACAACATGAATCAGAGGAGTAAGCAGAGCCCAGATACTCAGGAGTATAAGGCAACGTTATCTGTGTGCTGCTCTGATGAAGGAAGATGCCCTGATATACCAAGCCAGGATGTATGGCTAGATGGAAGTCACCAAGGTAAGCGAAATACCAGCGCTTCTTAGAATTACTTCCCAAAGCCCATTCCAAACAGACCACGCCATGCCACTTACCTTTGAGGCTTTTACTACTTTGGCAACTACCTGTAGGTCTTTCACCATTTCAACAACTACTGGTGGAGCTTTTACTGTTTCAACAACCACCTCTTTCTTGGCAGAATCACTGGAAGAGCAAAGATAGCCATCGGTAAAATTCACTAAATGTCTTTCCAGGGCAACTGATGTATCCTCAGTTGTGCACTGATATCTGGAAACCATCAAAATACTGACACCGGACAGAAGAACTTACCACTTACTGTGGCAGACTGAGGCCCCCCTAACTGGCCCAGGTAACCAAGGTCCCACATAAACCAATAAGGAAAACAGACCTGCACCACTGGTTCCTATGGTCCTGAGTTCAGCAAGTTTGCCCCCTCCCCCATGCTCTGCAATCTCCTATCTTCACCTGTCATTGATATGCTTCCATGCCATAGCAGCAAACTGCTGTCTCTCCCCACCTCAGCTCTGAAACAGCCTGCCCTCACCTGTAATCAACATACTCCTCCTTCCAGGTGGCAGGCGTGCTGTTGGTAGGTTTGCCGTGCTTGTCCAGGAGGCCTTGCTTGATCATCAGCCTCTTCTGACTTGCCTAGTAGAAGTCATGGTTTCAACGTGAGAATGGTGTCAGTGTAGGAAGCGGGCAACACAAATGCTGTCCCACTGCCCTGGACTCCTCACCCCATCAACTTCTAATCCACCCTTCACACTAGCATGGCTTAAGACACCTTGC